GAGAGAGAGAGAGAGAGAGAGAGAGAGAGAGAGAGAGAGAGTTATTTTCACGGAGCGGAGAGGGTCAGATTCGGGTTATGTTCACTTCTCGGTTAATTAGATCGTTCTTATCGCCGATTTTCGACGATGATAATAAGAGGGTAGAGGATAAGATCGCAGTGATGAGGTAGCTCGAGATGCTGGATTCATGTTGGGTTCGATGTTAGATATTATTCATGGAAATTTGGAAGAGGGAAACGAATAGTAGATTAGAATTATAGTGAGAATTTTAGAATATACGTGATGTAGTTATTTTTTCAAATTTGAAAATCTCCTTGATAAGATAATGGTGAGATAATATTTGAAAAAAAAAAGATATGATTTAGAATATTTCTTTGATATTTGATAAAAGAGAATTTTTGAATTCTTTGATATTTGATAAAAGAGAATTAGAGTTTTCTAATGTAATCACTATTCTTCGGATATTTAGGACTACCTCGATACTTGATAAAAGTTAGCAAGATTTTATTAGTGGAATCGAGGCCGATGAGGATTTACATATCGTAACAATTATTTCCAAGATTTAGAGCATCTGGTAATATTCGAGAAAACTGATGATGATGGAACGTACATGCTTAAATATAATAATCGCGCGCTATGAGTTTCATAGGAAATGCGGAGATCTTATCCGTGGAACAATCGCGTGCGAAACTAGCGTCAATCAAAACCGGTTTCATGCGACCTTCCACCGTTTATTAGATTTCCAATAGGAAACGTATCCTGATTTTATGGGGAGCGTTTCTTCGGAGAAATCGAGTTTACTAGCTTCCTCGTATTTATATAGAATAAGTGCTACTTATTCCGAATTACGGTCGAACGAAATTCCCTTCGCTGTCCGTTTGTCTTAAATATAAAATTATAAAAGAAGAAGAAGGAGAAGAATAGAAAGGAAAGAACGAATAAGCGATTTCGAAAACGAGGACGACGTGGAGGTTACAGTGAAACGAATGACGAGGTAAGACCGAGGAAAAATGGACGAGTTGGGATACAGGGGAAAGCAGAAGGATTAAAGCCAGGCGGTTCCACGATGGAGGAGGTAAAGCTCCATCGAACTGGTCGTCTTATTATCGCGCCTAGTATTTGGGTCAACGAAGATCTTCGCGATCTCCGGACCCGATGAACCCGATGCTGGCACGAGGGATGTGGTATTACGGGGTTAAGACTTAAGAAAATCGGTGTCGTTTTAGTAACCGACGATCAAATTAACTTTTATCGCTGTATCGTGCTCGTGGTTGGATCAAAGAACTCTTGATATCGCTTCGGATAATCCTGAGGCTTTTAACCTCTCTGTAATTCTACGTGAGATAAAAAAAAATAGGTATCTATATAAATATATAAATATATATTTTTAATTTATTTGTGTATAAATGCAGTATTAAATTCTTTATGAATTATTCATTCAAAGATTATTATCTTACAAGGGACGGATAAAAATATGGATCTCCATTTTTCAGACAGTCGTTAAAAGGGTGAAAACAGCCCTCAAAGTTGGGCTAAGTCAGGGCTAAGAAAAATTGCCATCATTCTCTTGAATAAAACATCTATGAGCACGCTTGAAGAGGAATAATTTAACACCGGCCAACCCTTTTTTTTCTAATTATCGTTACCCTTCTCATCAGTATCCTAAAGGATAAAAAGATAGCTAGTTAATTGAATATAGCTAGTTTCCAGACTTTACCTTGACAAAGGGGAGAGAAATGGATCACCAAGTATCGCGCCGTTCTGAAACTTCTCTCTCTTTCTCTCTCTCTCTCTCTCTCTTTCTCTGTGCCTTTCATTCGCTTGATTCACGAAGATTATGGCAACCAGGCTGCAATTTCTCTCTGCGATCGATCGAGTAATAACCGACGAATAGTTATTTCCAAGATCGTATTGTCGCGTTAAGACGATTTCCCTCGTGAAAAATATTTCCCTCGTGGAAATGGCGTCGTATATTCGCGTGACCACCGGTTATAAAAATTCGTCGGTGTAACACACAATTGTGAAAGAATGACGTGCGCTCATCGACCCGGTTAAATAAAAATAAACCGATTTTTCTGGGCCATCCAGATGGTCAACAACAAATTCCTAAATTCGAAGCGGTTGGCAAGCGGAAATTGTGCGTGCACCAACTATGGAATAAAGCCACAGCAACGTTGGAAAGACGTAAATCTTCTTCGAACGAAGCTTACGCGAATTGACAGATTTTGGAGGAATCGTAACCAAGAGATAATCCATATGGCGGCGCTAGTAGTCTGGCGAACCACTCCTTCATTTCTTGCGGTTCGTCGAACACGGCAAATATTTAATCGAAGATAATCTTACGGATACCGTGTCTGATCCGGGATTAAATTTTTAAACGAAACGTTTCACGATTATACAGATTTATTTGAATGCGCATACGACGGATCATTCGACGTAACACGTTGAAGATAATCTCGAAAATTTTAAACTCAATTAACGAAAAATAAATGAGACGTAACCCGTAGTATTTAAATAAAATATCCAAGTAATTTAATCAGTCTATCGAACCAGAAGTGATTAAAGCGCACACTTTGCCAATCGAAACCCCTTGAAACGATGCTTCATTTTTTCCAATCGAAGCTTTTCAGAAAGGATCTATTGACAATTGATCGGCAGGATTTTATTACACGATCGTTCTAACTATTGGTGACCCACGTTTAACGAACGATGGGGTTACAAATGGCGGGGATTACACGAGAGAAAAGAAAAAAAAAAAAAAAAAAAATGAACGAAAGAAAAATAGCGCTCGATCTACCCGGAACGAGATCCCCGTCGAGGGCAAAAACTCTCGCTTATTCGACCGCGAGATTGGTGACGTTTGAACGAAAGGAAGGGGGAGACTTAAATCTGGAAATAAAAATATCGATCCCTCTTTCCCCGTGGAAAGTTTGTACGAAGTTGAACGAAAGAAGAATGATGCATCTCGGCGACGACGATGCACTGTCCACGCCAAGTGGGAGAACCTTCTTCGTTGACCTAAATAAGAAAGATAATAAGGGAGGCTTGGCGAACTTGATCCTCGTCACGACAACGAGCCCCTCTATCTTTAATGCATTAGGGGGATTCTTCCAGTTGGATTTCGCCGAGTCAGAGATTACTTGCACAGATTCTTTTCGCGTGGATTCGTCCACGTGTCACGATCGTCGTTTGTATTCCGCCATCGTTTGAGTCATGGTCCGCGCAGTCCGATTTCCTCGAGGCTATCGTCGGATCAACTTTAAATTAAAATTCTGTCTTTTTGTCTGAGTATTTTGGAGAAATGTTTGACGTTAAAAGTTTTCTAATTGCAAGTTAGAAATTCAATTTAATTATTAATATATCAATATCAATTTTAATTAAATTACGAATCTTTGATCTCTAATATTTTCAAAAATTTGGAAACTATTTTTAAATCAAGTCTGGTAAGACAATTATATATATTCCCGATAGAATTTGTAATTTAAGAAACGTACGTTCTCGTCGTATTTTCCACGAGTGACGATAAGACGTTCAACGCGAAATCAATCAGAGATCACTGGAAGTCAAACTAAAGTGCCGTTGAATTGGACCAAGCGAAAGGACACTTTAAAATTTCGATTGGTTGGAAGAGAATCGGGGATTAATTTCTAGCTCGACGATTCCGTCCTCCTCTGTTTCCTCGCCATCCTCCTCGCTTGGTCGCCTTGAATTCGATTTGACGCTTCTGTTTACCGTATTCTAACCCCCGGCAAGCTTGGAAACTTGGAAAAATATCTTCCGGTCTGATCGATCGATAAATCGATACCCGCGACGAGTCAAGCTGAAGAAATGAAACAGCGCGTGCGAAAAATTCAAACCGTTGGATTCTCCTTTTGAAATTCAGAAATATATTTCTATCCACGAAATAACGAAAGAAACTGTATATGAATATACAGTAGGTGTATAATCCATAAGCACGTATGAAGCCAACGTGTATCGTGACGGATATTAAAAAGATCTAGACTATTGATTAAATACAGAAATAAATAATACAGCCAGCTAGCAGGTATTGTATACGCAAAGCGTATTTGTTTGTTACTTCGTAAAACGGAGAGGATTAACACGAATGATATAATATAATCATTTATATTCTCCTTTTTATTCTGTTTGAAGTTTTTTTTTTTTTTCCTTCAAGTTCCATTTTGCTTGAAGAACTCGCATGATGACTATTATAAATATCGATAATATTTATTTCGAGAGAGAGAGAGAGAGAGAGAGAGAGATTGTTTGGAAAAGCATTATATGAATACCTTTATATTTATATTTCTCGTCGTTTTATCGCCGTATTAATCGTGCAAAAGGAAGTACTGGATCTAATGGAAAAGTTAATGGAAAATTAGCCCCGACAAACGCGGGGAGGATACACACAACGTAATACATTGAACGTGACCCCTCGCATTTATTCCCTTCCATGGATAGATTCTTCTCTACAGACCGTAACCACCGTCCGTGCATCGTCTCGATACAAAGACGAAGCCAGCTGCGTTTGAAAACTCTTTCAAATCTTAAGGATGAATCGATCTATGAAGCGGCGAGGCAAAACCGTGG